TTTTATTTAACGGGAAATTGGGGGGGCCTTCCCCCCCGCCCCGGAAGGCCCCCAATCCCTTTTTTTTTTTTTTTTTTTTTTTTTTTTTTTTTTTTTTTCTGGCGTAATGCGACCTGTACCCGATCTTTTCATGACAGTCTGAACAAAAAAAAAATGACAGTCTGAACAGCACGAGTCGGATTTTTTTTTTCCCGAATGTGACCCATATCATATCCGTTTCAAATGCGACCTAACGTTCAGGTCGCAGTCATCCGAACTGAACGTCACTGATTCTCAACAAATCTCACTGTGCTGCGTCCTGATACGCACAAGCGGGAAGAAAAACAACAAACATGACGGACTATAAGGAGGATTAAGTTGTTATTATGCTGCTCCGGCCGGACAACAACTTCAAATACGTAAGCTGTGCTCCACCGTTAGCCTCCATGTTTACTTCCGCAAACACTGAGCACTTCTTCTTCTTTTTATGGCGGTTGACAGAACACTGAAAACGCTGACGCTATTGCGCCCTTTACTGCACATGCGGGACACTTTCAGGTCGTTAGCCCGTTCACACTGCAGAACGCATACAGGTCGCATTTACTGGCAGTGTGAACGGCCCCGGCAAAAAAATCGGAATTGCCAAAAAATCGGAATTGGATCACTTCACGCTGCAGTGTGAACACACCCTTAGAGACCAACCAACCTGACAGTCATGTTTTTGGACCATGGGAGGAAGATGGAGTGCAGGGAGACAACTCAAACTCTATGTAGAAAGCTCTTAGGCCAGAAATTAGGCCAAAAGCTTTCTTTCTGCAATGCAGTAGAGCACAACTGTGCTAAAACTTTTTCACAGATCAGCTCTAAGAGATGAAATGCAATTACATTCCAGCTTAGTTGGTAAATTGCCCAGTGAGCCTTGTGATATATTACATGTCGCCTTCAATAGCGTAATTTAATTTTTTTTTTTTTTTTTTACGAAATACAGTAGAGGGCAAAATGGTCCAACTCTCCATATTGTCAGTAACAGAAGAGCTCAGATCATTTCTATAAAACAGAATGCAGTGACAGCATCTCAACAGGCTGCGTCAGCCTCTCCAAATGCTACACAAGCAAGTTTATGATTACGAGACTAAATAAAAATCCAAGAGTCAAAACTCATTTGTTCAGTTTAAATCCCCAATATCATTAAGCATCTTGTTAAATATGCGTAATCATTTCATCTTTGCAATGCAGCAGCAACATGCTAAATGTAGAATAATATATATTTCGTATATCAATTTCTTGATAAATTGATATAGGTCAAACATCTCTGATGAATTTTGAAAGTTTGTGGATTTTAGTTTTAGAACTGAAGATAAACGCTGCTTTCACATTTCAATGAAGACTGATGTTCAACGTTTATACACTATACATATGACTTAGATGGTTAGCTTTTTTGTTTTGTTTTGTTTTTTTACTTTCGAAAAGAACATTCTCATACAGTTTTCAAATGGATAGTGAAAATTATAACTACCTACCTCTAGATTTACATAAAATGTACTCTAAAACTGGACAAAAACTAAAAATACTGCAACAAAAATGAATGCCATGATATGCAAAAATTAAAAATGGGGACAAAGTATACTTTTTAAAAATTGCAGTCAGTAATTTATTATGAAAAGAACTCATGTATTATGCAAAAAAACTTGCACTTTTTTCTGTCTTTTTTATTTATTTATTATTTTGCATATTTTAGATACTGTAGAAGTCGCCCTCTTTTGTGGAAAAAGTGTAGACATATTTCCGTTAATAGTTGTAAATTCACTGAAACATGTTAAAAGGCCTATTAAGTACACCAAAGCAGTCTTTGCTAACTTGCCTTGCATATATATTTTTTGTCGCTCCGCCGTGGAAGGTGAGGGCGCTCCTTCTAGCAGACGGCCGCTTTTTTAAAAAAAACAGACAGTCTGACCCCCTCATCAACAAGCCACTTCCTCTTTTGTCTAATTTCATGGCGATCGGGAGAGAGGGAACACCACCGACGGACGCACACTGTCTCGGCACTCCTGAAAGAGTTTATCTGGGGTAAATAACTGCCATTTTTCACACAACTCGCGTGTTTGCGGCAAAGTACGATAAGTTGTATTCGCTTTCGTGGGGGTTTGAATCTCCTTGCAAATGGAAGGATTTGCTCAGCTTCTGGGTCACACATTTCACATTGTAGCGCCACTCGCTGATAACAAATCGGACGAAATGGGCTCCCCCTCCGCCTGCATCTCTCCCACAGACCCAGCCACACCACACTTAACGGCGATGGCTAGCTAACGCTAGCAGCACTTAAACGCCCCACATATGTCGTCACAAAAAATACTTACATTTATTAACTTGGTGGCAGCAATATGACATGGAATACTTAATTTGTTCAGTACTTTAGAAAGTTTTTTGGCTCTTTGAGAATGTTAGCCACTTGTAGTACTGGAGTGTTTGTGTTTGGGTTAGCGGGCAGCTAGCTCCCGTGCTATGTATTGAGTTAACTTGGATAGCGATTCAGAAGTTTGTATTTGGCGAACAAGCTACAATGGGCACAGTGGGGTAAAAGTATATTCACACATAACTTTTAGAAATTGTAAAATAACTTGAACTGTAACGAAATGTGTATCTCTACCATTCATTAGATTTACCCCGCTGATTGAAAGAGGAGAAACAAGCTAACTAGCTTCGTCAGCTAACTACTTGGTTAACGGTACCTTATCAGTAGGAATTTTAGCAGAAGTCATGCACAAACTTATCCGCTCATTATCATTATCTCCTATTTAATCTAAATTTCGGTTAGAGCCAGAGTACACATCTGCTTCCACTTTAAATAAAGTTGCACTAAGTTAGTAGAAAGTTTATTCAGGTTTTAACAGTAAAGAACAGGAGGCCAAAAACACTTAAGCGAATATTGGCGAAAAAATTGCTACTTAATCACACCATCTTGATCATGAGATTACAAAGAAGTTTACTTCATTGAGGACAAAAGTAAAAAGACAGCACTATGTGTGTGTGATCCAATTGTTCATATAAAAAGTTACTTTCATTGTGAAATGACCATATATTCTAATGCTGTCATTTTATTTAAAATCAAGCGAAGGTGATGGACATATGCTTTAATGCACAAATTGAGAAAATCTTATTTGTTAATTTTCTGTTAAAGTTAGTACAGCCATCATATCAAATAATCTACAGGACAGTTTTCTCTCTCTCTCTTTTTTTTTTAAGATTATGTTCTCCTTCTGAGGAGAACATAATCTGAATCTGTAGATAAGACCAGAAAGAGAACAGGAAATTATCTGCGGGGGAAAGCTTGATTGACAATTTTGCATACAAATTTAAGCATGCACAATTTTGTATTTACAGCATAACTCATTACTTGGCTACGAATAAATGACTCACCTGAGCGATTCATTTTATTTTTGGAAACAAAAGCACACTGTGTAATAGTGCTGTTCAAATGTGTGAAGCCATTTTAATGTTACTCAGAAATACAATCTTTAACATGCTCGGTCATAATGAATTTGATGGAGATTTAAATATTTCTTTTGTTGTATTATTGCTTTATTTTGGCAATGTTTAAATCATGTATTGCTGCATTTTGCATTTGGGGGGGAAAATGCTTTTGCAATAAAGTTCAGTTGCATAACATAGTATGACCAAAAAAAAAAACCCTCACTTGGAATAAACTCCTAAGCTAAATTGTAGCACGCTAACCTGAAGTGTGAAAACCTACTCGGTAAAACGAAAATAAATACAATTCAAATGCTGAAGTTTTGTCAGAATTTCTTGCAGTAATAAGTTGCCCGCAGAGACGCTAACTGCGTGGTATTTGTTAGATCTAATGGTTGTTTATCTTTGCCCTGTTTACAGTTTAAACTAAGTTGTCAACCTTCCTGGCACACACGACATTTTCCAGGTGAGTTGTTGTCCCTTTTTTTTCTTTTCTTTTTTTTTTCTTGATCATGTTTTCTTTGACTCTTTTACATATTTTTATATTTGTTTGTTTACTTGGATCTCATGGTCAACTTCAGTTCATGGCTGAACCTTAAATGTTTATTATCTTTGTTTTATTTTTTTATGCCACATAAGTCTAAGCAAGGCGGAGTATTGTTGACTAAAATGATGCACAAGGAAGGTGTGATTGATTCGGTAAAAAAAAAAAAATCTCCTGACTTCAGCTTGTTTACAGAATTCCCATCAACAACAAATGCCATCCAAAAGCTCTTTGCAAGACAATCTGCTCTGGCGTACAATTATAATTGCGTCGAAATCTAGTTTACTCCAAATTTGATTCATATCAGCCCAAGTTATCCCAATCCAATCTGCTTTCCAGAGGAATCCAACAACGTTTCATTCAAATAATCAGCAGTGATATCAAACACTCCTTTTCTGCTACTTTTAGGTTCACTGCCGAAGCCCATTTCAGCACCAACCTTTCCAATAAGGCGGCAGCAAAAACTTTACACCCATGTGAGAGGATTGTTTTTTTTTTCTTTTTTCCTCCGTTTGAAGGCCAAACTTGTTATTGAGAGCACAATTTAACGTTGGCAGGTTGGAGACCATTATTACTCCACCTTCTTAACAAGCTCAAACATGTAACAAAAAAAAGAAGATTCTGTCAACTGATTTCCACCTTTCACGGGGCTGCTTCCCACAATTCAGCAGTGATTTTTATTTAAATACATTTCTACCGATCTGTAGCCGATTTGTATGTACAAGTATACAGAAAACTATGTACTAGTGAGATCTAATACTTGGGTATTATGTCTCTGTGTCAGTTTATGCTGTCACTCTTTTGTACTGTTGAGGATCTGAACGTACCTGTGCCAAACAATTAGCTTTATAGGATTCCTATGCAGTCTTGTGAAGTCTAGATGAAAAGTTGATATTTAATCATTTATCAAGCTTTGATGCAGGGTCTTCTGACTTTATTCCCTATCCCTTTACCTACTTCTTTTTTTTTTTTTTTTCCAGGATTAGTTGATCTTTTTATTACTTTAACCAGTTTTATGTTTAAATGAGATCCTTCATCTTTAATTTTCCACAATCCAGCTTTGGTTTCATCCCACTCATTTATCATTTTGGTTTCTGACCGAATTCATCTCCAAATACTCTCATCACAAAACCTAGCAGATTTTCTTTGGCTTCTTTTGACCCCCATCTACAAAGAGCTGGTTTTCAGCGAAACCGGAACATTTTTCTTGCTATCCAGCCGCTCGTTTGCACGTCTCTAGCAATCGGAGTCTTCAACAATGAAACTTTTTGAAGCCGGGTCTGAGAGCGTAACTTTTGGGAATGCCCCCTGCGGAGGTGTGAAGTACTCTGCTGGTGTGAAAGCACATTCACAGAAAGCACTGCTGCAGGACAAGGTGGAGGTTAAGAGTCGAAGCGCATGCGCGTTTCGACGGCATGTTAAAATAGCGCCTGTGCATGACAACTACAGTGGATTCGAGGCGTCTTGGCGGTCTAGACTAAACGGCGACACCGTTTAAATGTGGAACGTTTCCGCAATCAAATATATCAGCAATTTCTAGTCGGCTGTCTCATGTAAACATTGCCTTAGACTCTTCAGGATCAGAGTTTTATATTGGACCTGTGGCTGTTAAACTGGGTCTTGTTAAGATGCCAAGCAAAATATGTCAACAAAGCAGTAAAACTGCCCTTCACCTCTCTGCCAAATTGAAGGAAATGTCAGAGTTGGTTCATGAGCTGGTCAATTGGAGGTAAATATTTTGTCATAAAAGATCTAGGATGTGTTAAAGACTGCTGGGGGAAAAATGGCCTGACGTCCAACAAACGACCACTGCTCCAGGAAATGAACACTCATCCTACGTCTGAAAAACTCATAGGCATAAATTACATTCCTGTCAACTTGTCACATGTGTAATGCTCAAAGTTTCCTAGCCAGTGAGCTCTCCTTGTGTCTTTACCAACTGGATTATCTGTGTGTACCTGCAGGTGATACTAGGCGGACGTCATTAAAGAGCCTCCTCCAGCTCCCAGACTTGTTCTTCGCTGTCCCAGGTTAAGACTCCTTGGTCTATGGCTCTGATGGACAAAACCAAACACGTCAAGCGGCAGAGACTGGACCGCATCTGTGAAGGTAAGAGTGTAGACTGGCAGGAGGGTTTATGAAGAAGATTAGATCTTAGAATTAATTGTATGTGCAATTGTTAAACCACAACACTTGTTCATCATGTGAAGCACTTTGTGTTGCTGTTATGTGGTTTACAAATAATCTTGACTTAACCATGCTAGCCTAGTGCTGCATCACTTGTAAAATTAGCTGGCCCAAACTAAGTGAGGATTTTACTTTTAACTTTAAAATTAGTTTTTAAAGTAATTTTTTTTTTTTTTTTTTTTTTACATTCCTTAAATTTTTTTTCAGTTTTCTTTTATGTTTTGAATGTTGACTGTTCAGAATGACTTGTTTGCTTTAGGTTTATGCGATAAAATTGATTGATGGGTGCGGTGCTCCCAACCTAATGGCGCAACCTTTATTAGTTTCCTTTTGTGTGGCGTTTGTAATGAAGTGTTTGTCTTAAGTCGCTGTGCAAGAAGTGCGCTCCGTTTCATTGTGAAGGTGGCAGACAGTAATTCAACTTTCCGTTTCCAGAACGTGCACTCGGGGACGGCGATGTGCATCCATCTGTGATTGTTATCGTTTGAAGCTGTTGTATAATGGTGATGCGAATCAGACATAGCTGTGCACAAAACTGAAGGAAGCCCTATGGGAGAGTCTCTAGAGACCTGTGAGACGGAGAGGACAAGGTGAAGGGTTGCGGCCCAGGCTACTGGGAAACGGGCCAGCTGTCTCTTTAAAAAATGACAACAGCCCAAACCGCCCCAGGCCTCGGCTTCAGCTATGCTAATGAGGTTAGTGCTGGTTGGCCGAGTCTGTATGGGGCCGCCTGTGATTGGAGGCTGGCCGTGGGGGAGGGGCTGGGCGTGGATGACAGCTGGGATCCAGTCAGCCTAGAGCAGGCTGGCAGGAGAGAGGGAGGAAAAATAAGAACCGTAGAGAGGAAGACAGGCTGACAGACTTCACAATGCAAGGTTAGGCCCACTGCCCATGTGTGTTCTGTTTTTTACGTGCGTTTTCGATTTAAATTTTTTTTTTTTTTTTTTTTTTTTTTTAGATTTGTGAGTGTTGTGTGTCGGTGGGGGGCGAGAGAGGCATGTATGGTTTGGGTGTGGCGCAGAAACGTGTGCGTGTTCTGTTTCTCTTTCACGCTCAGTGTGGGTTGGTGCTGCCGCAGCCGTTGAAGGAACTGAATAAGCGTGTGTCTAGCAGCGTCTGGGTGGAGTACTGCTGCTTGCTGCATTATCATCGTCTGCTGCCCCTCCCCCCCTCCTCTTACTCTAAATACGACCAGGAGGAGGGAGTGGAGGGAAGAAAGGCAAAGAGAGGGAGAATGAATGAATCACTGAATGAATTGTATTGTGTGTCTGGCCATGCTTGTTCTTCGTAGGCCTTGGGTATGCCAGTGTCCTTTACTCAAATTACTTTCCCTGCAGTCTCAACTTGGTTGTATATTTTTTTTTCTGAGGAGCTCTTTGTGATGGAGCACTTTAAGTTTTTCTGCGTGGCAATTGTCCCTTTGTGTGTTATGCAGTTGGCATGGTGGCGTTTTTGAGCCATCTGCAGTTAATGTGAATCACACTGCCTAATACAGTCCACTAGTATGCACGTCCAGTGACTGTATCGGACATGCAGGCCTGTGTTTTTCTCCTTCCTTTTTATTCTTGCGTGAACTTAATTTACTGGAAAGGCTTATTGTATGGAGAAACAGACTCTCCCCCTGTTCTGTTATTTTCAAAACCAGATTTTGATTAATTCTTCCACAAAATTAGCAATTTTCTAATCAATTATTTTCAGTTATTTCAAGAAAATGCAGTGCTTTAACTTTCAGGGACTGACTAGCTTAATATTTCCATTTCAAACTGTGATCTCAATAAAACAAGCTTAAGATCTTTTAACACAATATGTCATAGCAAATCTTAGTTGCTCGATCTTTTTCAGGATCCTGAAACTGTTACGACTAAATCGGTTTACCGACGTAGCACTTGAAACTTGCAACTGTAATTTAATTTGATAACGTCATAAAAAAAATGAAGCTGCTATAATGAATTTTAAGACTTAATATAACATAATAAAATATTAAATTCAGTGTTTAGTTTATAATGAAGTCATCACAGCAACACGAGTTTGAGATCTTTAAAATTTATATTTAGCTCAAAATCTTTAAAGTCACAATATGTCTTGAAATCTCATAATCTTGATACAGTTGATAATTACTTCATGAAAGCGTTAAGCACGAGCCTGAGGCCTGTCTTCATATGACAATGTGATAAATTCTGCTTTTTCAAGTTGAGAGAACACGAGTCACAATAAAACAAGCTCAAGCTCTAGTGGTTATTGCAATGAGATGAACAATTAATAACACAAATAAATTGTTACGGATCACATCAGGCGTTTGTTCACGTAATCTAAAGAAGCGTCACGTGTGTCATGGTTCACGGAGATAAAATGCGGCTTGTGAACAATTTTGGAGGATTTCATGTTGGGCGTGCGCTCATCCTAAATGCCACTTTGTCCTTCACTTGTTCCTGGATTCCAGCGCGGCCTGAAAGCTGAGGCTGAGGTGTTTAAAAATCCGAGCCTGGGAAAGTCTGGAGTCCCTGAAATGGAAAATGTGCAGAAACCCTGAATACTTGATTTCCAGCCTCAGCTACCAGCTCGCGTTCCTCCCCAGCAGTCTTGCCACCGCGTCCTGCCTTCTGTCCAAGTAAAACCGTTCCAGCAAACCGCACTCCAGCTCCAATGAAATGCACACCTCTCGCACGGCAGTGACAAGATAAGTCACAGAAAATAATCTCATACAAAGCAGAAACGGGAAGAGGTGTAAAAAAAAAAAAAAAAAAAAGAGGAAAGAAAAAAAGACAGTTTGCGATAAGTGTTTCTGCAGTGCGTTGGCAGAATTGCAGCATTAATTTGTTTTGGCAGCTCTGCTTTGGTTGGCAGAATGGAGAGTGACTACGGATGAGATTTGCCACCAAGTGGTGTGTTTATACTGGGAAGAGAGGGCAAAATAACTGGAAGATGTGGCTCTTCTAGACATGAGATGTAGGTCACAACTGACCCACCCCCCCGCCAGTCCCCACATCCCACCACTATAAACTCATGAACCCCCTTCACTACCTCCTTCCAGACATCAATCAGTTTTTCACCCCTCCCCCAGTTGTAGCACACCATCACCTCTCCTGCTACCTTCTAGGCTCTTTCGTGTGCGTCTGCCATCGCACGGTACCCCGGTCCAGTTCCTAGAAACGATACTGGATCATTTGATTGACCCGAGTCTCATCTTTCCTCTACGCAGAGGCGCTTCAACCCAGATGTTCGTTGCAAAGACGAGCAGATTCCTGGATGCGCCATTAAAGATTTGGTTACACGTAACTTCGTAACCTTAAATCACATCAACGCATACATGCAGTCATACAGTTTCCTCTATGTTGGTGTTTGGAAAAAGAGAGTCAGACGCTGTTTTTCTAAGGAGTAAAGCATTCAGCTATTTGTGCAGGGGGATTTTCTTTTTGTACATCACATTGAGCAAGCCAGACGTGGAAAATGCAGACTGACTCACTAACCTTAAGTCTATTTAGTCATTTTGAAAAACAAGTGGTTACACGCCGTCCGGATTAATAAGGTGTTAGTATTGTTTAAAAGATGTAGACTGTATGGAAGCCTGGAAAGATTTAGTCTTAGTTTTCATTCATTCATTCTTTTGTGTGTTTGGCCTCTTAAGTCTACAGTAGGGAACTCAAATCATTATTTATGTAGTATTAATAAACTTTTAGTAGGAACTTCCACGTCTTTAGAGGGTCATAAATGTTACAATCCAAAAAAAATAAGTAAAATACAAGAAAACTTTATACACTGTCGTATAACTTACTGATGCATTTAATTTATTTCTAATAGTTGGTCATTTTATGACATAAATATTGAAATTAAGTTAAATGTTTGTGTTAAATGCATATATGATTTAGTATTTGCTTAATTGTTTTGTAGTTCTTCAAATTATTTTAACTGTAATCAGCTGACCAATCAGATCTTGAAGGATCTGGAGTTAAGGGAGAGGAACCAATCGTCTTTGCTTTAGCCGTGCAGCTTTGGACGTGATGTAACAGACCACATGAAGTCCTGCTCTGCTGGGAAATGATTATTTAAATAACTAAACAACTTATTTGCATATGAATTTTACAATGCAGATGTAAATGTTCCTCCATAAAACATCCTTCTGGTTCTGATTAACTCAGGTATCCGACCCCCCATCCTGAATGGGCCGATGCACCCTCGGCCCCTGGTGGCCCTGCTGGATGGACGCGACTGCACTGTTGAGATGCCCATCCTCAAAGACGTGGCGACTGTGGCTTTCTGCGACGCTCAGTCCACACAGGAGATACATGAGAAGGTAGAACAAGATCAGCTGCCGGCACCAGTGGTTTATGACCTGAAAACATCATGACTGCCTGAAAAATTTTACATGCTGATCATTCAGATAGTTCAATAAAAATCTGTCCTCCCCAGGTGTTAAATGAAGCTGTGGCTGCTCTGCTGTATCACACTATAACTTTATCCAGAGACGACTTGGAAAAGTTCAAAGGCCTACGGGTTATCGTCAGGATCGGCTCGGGCTTTGACAACGTTGACGTCAAAGCAGCCGCTGAGCTCGGTGAGGCGATCAGGTTTACAGAACGATGTTAGACACGAGCTTCTTTACGGCACAACAAGGCGAGCCTAACGTCTCCTCCTTCCCCTCCCCCGTCACACAGGCATCGCTGTCTGTAACGTGCCAGCAGCCTCGGTGGAAGAGACGGCCGACACGTCGCTATGTCTGATTCTCAACCTGTACAGGCGGGTCACTTGGATGCACCAAGCCCTGAGGGAGGGGACCCGGGCCTCCAGCGTGGAGCAGATCAGGGAGGTGGCTGGAGGTGCTGCTCGAATCCGCGGTGAAACGTTGGGCATCATCGGTTTAGGTGAGCGAACGCGGTTCCTGGGGTTAATATAAAACCAAATTAAGCATAACGACTTGGAGTCGGATCATTTGTTCCCAACCTTAACCCGGTCCTGCTGTTTTTAGGACGTGTTGGCCAGGCTGTGGCCCTGAGAGCCAAAGCGTTTGGATTTAGCGTAATCTTTTATGACCCGTACCTGCCTGACGGCGTCGAGCGCTCGCTGGGCCTCCAGCGAATGGCCACGCTGCAGGACCTGCTCATACACTCTGACTGCGTGTCCCTGCACTGCAGCCTCAACGAGCACAACCACCACCTCATCAACGACTTCACCATCAAACAGGTCAGCGGATGCAAAAAACGCTTCCTAATCATTACTGGGATGGGCTTTTTAATACTCCCATTAATTTTTAAGTGTCGCATTAATGAGATCTGATGGTAATGAAACAGTAGAGCGGGACATCCTTATTTCAACATTTAAAAGAATCAATATCAACAGATTATGAAGTCATTCTTCTTCTTCTTGGTCCTCTTCCACCGCTGTAGGCTCGTTTTCTTTGCTTTGAATCCACTTCACGTCCCCTGATCTTCTTCTCCTCTAATTAGGCCAAATCCCTGATGGCTTTCACCTGATTTTAACTGAAAATTTGGCGTATCAGATCAATCTAAAGAGTCACCGCCCCTAACTGTCGCATACGCCCACTAAACGGAGCGCCGCTGATGGGTGTGCAGATGGGTGGAGGGTGCATGTTTTTTTTTCAACATGGTGCATGAAATATCCACTATCAGCACTATGTGCCTCTTGATTAATATATACACGCTGCTTTGATAGCTTAATAGGCTCCTCTGGGTTTTAGGCAGGAATTTGCTGCCATAATTTTGTTTAGAATAACATAAAAAAGGGCCCGATTTTTCGAGTGTAGAAAGTCCAAAACACAAGATTTTCTTTCATTTTTGTCCTCCACATCTTAACGTCTTTTATGCACTCGGAGCATAAAAATGAGTTCATAATTTATTAGATTTAGGCTTGTATGTTATTTACATGAAATGCAACCGGAAGTCATGTTTTTCAAGCCTTGAAGGAACATACAGAGCACAAATAGGTCAAAGAACTGATCCCTGAAGGATATGTAGGATTTACATAGAATTTAAGCCACTGCCATGTGTTTTTAATGTCAAATAATATTCTATTAATAAGAATAACATTGTCTACCAATTTATTTCATTTGTAAGAATTTGACTGGGGACTAGGCTGAATTATTTTACATTCATTATTGGTTTAGTAAAATTATTTGCTACATGGGAAATCTGCTTTTATCAAAACAATAGAAATGTTTATTTTTTTCTCTTCAGTTCCCTTCTCTATTCCAAACCCACTTCAGTTGTTTGGTAATGATTTAAATATTGCTGTTGGATCTTCAGACAGGTTGTCGTCGTAGATTATAGAAGTGAATCTTGCACTAGATGTTTATTTATGCGTTTCTATTATATAAAGCAGATGAATGAAAACTGTTTAGTCTCCAAGGCCCTACAGGTAAAGCAGAGTTTGTATCATACAAACACTGCCAGTCGTGTTCATGAGCAGAAAACTAATTAACTCATCCCTGCTTGGCAGCCACTCAAACTGCAGCTGCATAATAGCTTTACAGTGAGACTCCCACAGTTTCACCTGCCTCCTCCTATTTAGGCAAAAACCTTTTTCAGGGGTTTGAGGTTTTGTCTTTTTTTTTCCTGCCCTTATGGCGAATTTTTGTTGCAGTCGGTTTCAATCTGTTGCTCTTCCGACAGATGCGTCAAGGAGCGTTCCTGGTGAACACGTCAAGAGGCGGGCTGGTGGACGAGAAAGCTCTGGCTCAGGCCCTGAAGGAGGGCCGGATACGTGGAGCCGCCCTGGACGTGCATGAGACAGAACCGTTCAGGTAAGAGCAGAGCGCTGCACGAAGCCCACAGCCTGAGCCTGCTGCCTTACTTGTACACACGGTGTCAACGGACGTTAACAAGTTCTTACTTTTCATCAAGTTTTTCAACGGGCCCCCTGAAGGATGCCCCCAACCTGATCTGTACCCCTCACACATCCTGGTACAGCGAGCAGGCTTCAGTTGAGGCTCGTGAAGAAGCAGCCAGAGAAGTGCGCCGGGCCATCACTGGTGAGTGTACATGTTGATTAGATGGCATAAAAAACATTTAAATATTACAAAACATTTAAATGTAAAAAAAAAAAAGTACAGTGAACCCCTGATATTCATGGCGTTTATGGAATAGAGCTGCCGGCGAAAAGCTAAAATACTTGAGATTCCTTCCAGACACACTTAGAACTGACTATTTTAATAGTCCAAACACCAAAAATGCCCTAATATGCACAATGAAAACCCTCTTAGTACCATCATAGAAGCTAACATCCACAGTCTTCCTTATTCTCCCTCTTGGGAGTTCAGCCAATCGACAGCTAGGAAAATAAATGGTGTTCTTAGACAATACTATCTGCTATTTGCAAAGGAGCAAATGGCAGATAGTATTTGCTGCTTTGCAAATAGTAGCCAGTCGCGTATCGAGTTGCTGCATTTTCTTTTATTCTCCACAGAAAAATGCAAAGACGGGTGAATCTGAATATTCAGCGACGGATTAGGTGGGGGTCCAGTGTTTATAAAATGGTATTGATGAATGCTGCATTGATGACGTTTGTTCCCACTGCTTTCTATGGAGCTCAATCATTAAACTCTATAAATTTTGGGATCTAACTGAGCAATTAAGGCCTCATGATGTCAGAAAGGAATTTAATTGCGATGATTATTGATTGCTTTTAACTCCCTTCACATTTTTCATCACACTGTCCTCACCAAGTCCTCTGCCATTAATATTTGATGTTGTGATTTTGGTTCAGTGCAGTGTGCAACTTCACTGAACCAACTTGATATTTTATACAAAGGGATTAATATTTCACATTTTGTATTTTGGTGATTTGTGATATAGTATGAAAGTATATTCTCTTTTAAAATCTGAGAAGCCAGTTCTTACTGACCAGTGTCATTCATTTCTGAGTGGAAAACCTTTAAAAGTTTGGACCTGGAACATTTTAGAAAAAATAAAAAATGTTTGCTTTTCCCATTTTCTAGAATTCCACATCACTTTACAAATCCCCAAAAGTAAATTAAATAATGGGAAAATATTTAAGTATTAAATATTTAGGAACCCTGTATGTGATGTTGCTCCAGGTCGTATCCCTGACAGCCTGAAGAACTGTGTGAATAAGGAGTATCTGATGGCTGCCTCCCAGTGGCCCACCATGGAGGCAGCTACTGTTCACCCAGAGCTTAACGGAGCCACCTACAGGTGAGAGCAGTGAATGCTGACCAGGACAACACGGGGCCCTGTTGGCAGACGGGAAACGAGCTCTCCTCCTCCTTCTGTTCCAGATTCCCCCCAGGTCTGATCAACGTGGCAGCAGCAACGGGGGGCCTGCCAGGAGCAGGCACAGGCGTGGAGAGCCTGGTTTCAGGAACCCTGGCGCACGGCATCGCCCCCGTCACCCACCCCCCTCACGCCCCGTCCCCGGGGCAGCCCACTAAGGCTGAAGGCGACAGAGACCTCCCCTCCGACCAATAGCCCCCTCTGCCAGCTCTGGCACATTCCGTCATCTCTGGAAACCAAACCCTCGTCGTTCCCCGCCGCCCCCGTCCTCCGCCTCGCCTCGCCCCTTCAGGGTCAGACACAAAGCGACGCTCCGGTGCACGGGAAGCACCAGTCTGACCCATCCTGGATCTCCGGTCCTTCGTCTGATCAGACAACCAGCCCAGGAGTGACCCATCTACACCAATCCATCCCCCCCCCCCCACATCCCTCCATCCTCATCTCACGCACCGTCAGACACCCCCCCCTCACCCCCCACAATGTCAGCAATAACTGTGTTCTCAAGGATTCAATTATTGGATTGGTTTTACTTCCTTAGCTGGCTGTTGTTTTAATGGAAAGTTGATCTTTTGTGGTTCTAGGTGTTGCTGTTTTGCTTTTTCCGACATGAGGCTTTAGTCTGCTGCCTCCAGCAGGAACAGAACAGTCAAAGCTCCACTTTGTACATTAATGGCTGTGTTACTACTCTCTTCTTCTTCTTCTGTTGTTGTTGTTTTTTATTTTTGATTTCCTGGCCCCTATCTGCTCGTATTATGACTGGGGGAAACTGCTTATTACAGTAAGGCGGTCAGAATCTAGCCACCCTCCATCCCTCAAACCTCCTTGGCATTATTAGCTTGCTCAGCAGAGGGTTTATAATGCAGTCTGTGTGGAGCTCTCTTAACTGTGAAACTCTATAGCGTTAAACCATTTAAAGAATGAAATCCCCCTATAAAGACTTTTCTCCCCTTACTTGCTCAAAGGTTGCTTAGCAAGCAGCTAGAGACAGACCCATTTGGTTTTGGTCCCCAAAAGGAAATCTAAATCGAGCCAGCAGAGGGCGCCCTCTATCTGGCCTCCCAGTAACAGATCATTGATGCTACTTTAAGTGATGCAACGTAACAAACACGGAGAAACTGACTTAAAATTTGCTAAGATTTCACCACCCTGCACATCCTCATCCTCCTCTCGTATCATGGCTCTCCCAGCACAGTCGCACACACCAGTTCGCATCCACCAGTCCCTTCAGGTGTGACAGGACAGTATGGGTCAGATTCCCTGCAGGAGCAAACAGCGGCTAGCGTTCCTGCATGCTTGCATCTTCAAGACAGTGGTGTGTGTGCGTGCGTGTGTGTGTGTGAGTGAGGTAAGTGTTTCCTCCCTCACTCTTGTTGTTGTCGTTCCAAAGGAGTCGTCCCTTACAGTTAACTCTTAAAACGCTGTTGCCCTGGTGTGAAGGGAACACCTTTCTAGTACCTCATTAACAGATATTGAATGTACCGTGCATACCCTTCTCTTTTTTTTTTTTTCTTCTGTTTTTGTACAGATTTTCTAGATGAAATTGTAGCAGTCACGACGAAATTAAACGGAGAGAAAAATAAAGCAACAACATAAAAGCCCATTTGAAATAAATTTGAAAACTACTCAGGCGTCACTAACAACGTGCATCTGTTTGCCTTTTTCACTCAGCTTAGCACAATTGTCAGACTTCAAGCTTTTAAAAAGTGATGTAAAAATTAGCTGATGAAGTGGAATAACTTGGACTAGGACAGTGGTAGTACATACTTGCGTTGCATTTGACCCCCTTCATCAAGCTGCTGTCTGTAGTGCATGTGAAGTCATTTTTACGGGGGAGTCAGATTTCCCCTCCGCCCCCAACCCTCTCTCCCTCCCCATCGAAGCGTTTCTCCTTTTCTTCGGTCGTAGTCCGTTTCCAGTGATGTACAGTTTGTCCCCCTCAGAGTCTATGAGCAACAGGTGGCTCCTCTGTCGTGTGATAAGTATATATTTTTAAATAAAAGAAAAACAAAAAACAAAAAGTAATCCCCATAGTTTGGATTATAATCTTAAAATCTCCTGTTGGTGATGATATATATTTTCCAGTCCAGCGGTGCACTGTTGTTAAAACCGTTTTTGTTTTTAAAGGATTAGCTCTCCGTGTTCGACATGTTGTACTGAAACATTTCAGAGAAAACGAGATCCCTGCCTGTTCCCCACCCCACGGCCACCCGCTCCTCCCTCCACGTTCTTTTTCCTCCTTTCTCTCTTTAAATTTGTCGTTTCTGGCTTATATCCTGCGGGCCTTACTCGTTCTCTCCCTGTTACAGTAGCTGGTATAGAAAGTTGCCATTGGAGCCACTCACTGCCTTAATACAGTCGACCGCAGCAGGTGAAGCCAGGAGACGACAGCGGGGCCCCTGGGCCTCTGATTTGTAAAGCGCCTCACTCCCCTCAACCCTCACATAGGCCTGAAATTACTGCACCGTGCATTTCCTGTTCCAGTAAAGAACCACATTTAGCCTTGTTTATGCACGCACCGCTCGTTCCGCAGCCACACACACACACACCCGGTGTGAGCACTGACTTTGCATTTAGATGGATCACATTTATTCTGCTGGTTTTGGTTTAATCAAATCCAGCCAGCTCTTGTCAGTTGCAGCAGCTGATAATTAACTCTCGGGTGCGAGACCGAACCGCCGCCTTCGCCCACTGCGCTCGATAAGGACGGTGCGGCGGACACTGACGTAGTTTCAGCGAGAGTTGGTCACTTGTCTCTCCTCTCTCTCTCTCTCTCAGGGTTCAAATGCACACATATCCTCCAGCAGTCGCCCTGCGTGTCCTGTCCCTCACCCCCCAACTCCCCCACCGAGGTTTTCCTCCCTCAGACTGTTGACCCCGATCGCCTGCGTCCTCACAGACTCTCGATCCTCGTTCTGTGCACAGATCTGAACCGTTTGTTTTTTTTTCTTCTTCTTTTTGGCACTGACATCTAACCATCTAACCAGGAATGAATGAATGCTTGAAAGTGACTGTGTGTAATGTTGAAATTGGGAAATGTATTTTTTACAACATGTGAACATTTTTTTTTTCCCCTCCCTCCTCCAATCACTCTCATTGTGAATTATTTTTTTCTTTTCTTTCACCAGACTGCAAAAACAAAAACACCAGAAAAAAAAAATCTGTAACTAGGCTCTTAAGCTTTATTTTTTGTTTTTGTTTACTTTTTTATTAGAAACAATCATGTTTGTGATGGTAACCTCCAATGGTAAACTCAACACCGTATTTTAATAAAATCCTAAAAAATTTAAACATCTTGCGCCTACGTTTTTATCTATCTAAACACTAGTGTTTTTCTTGCTGAACCTTTAAACTCTAGAGTTTTATTCAGCTTTTTTTTTTTTTTCAAGCAGCTTCTTGCCTGATTATTAGTGGTTAGTGTGTTGCAGACTGCTTTTGTGGTCTGAGGACGTAAAGCTGTGTTTAGCAAAGTTTTGCCACAAACAAAATTGTTTACCGCAGTTTGGCAGCTCTTTATTTGGAGCAACGCAGTGCCAGGACAGCCGTGCAGGCCCATAGGGCTAAAAGACGGGACGGTGGGGGGATTATGGGCTTTAAAATTGCTTCCACATGCATATAACCAGGAGACTCCTCTTAAACAGTCAGCAATGCATTGTTGGTATTCATTTAGTGATTCCCAAGGATTGTTTTATCCGTTATTGGCACCGAGGCAATTTTAGTGCCTCGCAAAACTAAAATTGCAAGGCAAGTAATTTTCTAACGTTACAACCACAGACATAAAGGTATTTATTGGTATTTTCTATGATTTACCAACAATAAAGTGATGCATAATTGCAAAGTAGAAGTAAAAGGATATGTTGCATTCAATGTAAAAAAAAGACTAAAAAAATGTCTGTGATATGGCTCATTTGAATTCAGCCCCTTTTAAATCATCCTTTCATATAATCGAATGCAGTCAGTGGATTGGCACGCCTGTACTTACCAAGACACGGCTGTTGAGCAAGCAGAGGGTAATCAGAAGCCCCATAATGCCCTCAGAGGAGCTGCACAGATCAGCAGCTGAGGTGGGAAAAACTATTGAAAGGACGACTTGGTCGTAACACTGGCATTTGTGAAAGGGAAGCAAAAAGAAAACCATGTTGAGAGAGGTCTGGTTTGCAGATTGTAAAGGTCGTGGAGGGGACACTGGTCTGATGGGACAAAAAGTGAGATTTTTAACCTACATTTAAAATGTTTAAGGGAATAATTATGCCACCAACCATCTCTATGGTGGTCTCCACAAGTTTTTTTTTTTTTTTTTTTCTCAGGGAAGTTGTTCCCTGTTGAGAGAGAAGCATCTAAATCTGATTTGGATTTAAGTCTGAACGAGTCCCTGGTCCGACACACCGATGGCTGATTTACCTCCCCAGCATGTAGTCATGTTCTACGGAGACCAGTTAATTCATTCATATGTGTTGAAGCAGATATGTCAATAAGACCACATCAGGACCTCTAATGTTAAACCACTCAATTTTAGCTCTGTGGGTGGAATTGCAGATCGACCTAAAATATTAATATTGATATCAAGTCAGTTTTTGAATAATACTGACACTGGTATCGTTCCGATCTTACTGGCATGCTGAGATCGATACTGCAGTTTCAGATTCTCACTCGGCTCTACCTCAAAAAAGGTTTTGTTTCCATGTGTTCTCAAATTGTACGTTTTTGCTTTTCTATCGTTTCTGCTCGTCATAAAACACCTGAAGGTCAGAAGTTTAATAATATATCAAGTATCAGAATCGTTATCGGCGATACTGGAGCTGTACTCTGTACCATGAAATGCGCTATCTCGCACCTCTAATTTTTTGGGTTCTTTACTTGCTGGAAAGTTGAACCTTGACCCCAATCTGAAGTCTTTTGCTTCCTCGAACATGTTTTCTTCCAGTTTTGCTCTGCCCTCCTTGTTGTCAGTTCTGATACCTTATCCCTGATAAAGTAAAGACTCCCCATGGCGTGATGCATGCCACCACATGTGGGTAACGTGTGCTGTGGGTCACAGGTCACACATGCTGTTTGTGCATGTGGACCAGAAAATTTAATCTTTGTCTCTTCCGCACGTTTGCTGCGAACTGCAAATAATTTCTTCAGCAATTCCTCTCCTACCGACACACATTCAGAAAGACGAGATGCGTTGATTGCACAACGTTGTTCTTATGTTTGCAGACGTGTCGCTCCTCCAGAGTTGGCAGTCGCTCCACGTTATGCAGAGAATAAATGACGATGGTTTTCTAATTGAGTGGCTGTTGAAGGCAACTGGTGATGCTGAAGTTTAGAGTAATCGCAGCAAAGGGAACTGAATACAAAAGAAATCCAGTGCAAGGGACTGTTTGTGTGGGACAATTACACTACAGCACCTGAAGAAAAGCCAGCTGATTAACATAATGAGTCCAGTAGTTGAAGCACTTCTTTCTGAAAGTACCTTTCGCACACTCTGATCTCTGAATTTGTTGAAGTTGGGGGGGGGGAGCAGACGTATTGCACAATCACCTGTTTGTCCACTTCTCAGAAGTTGCTAGAGGCCCAGGATGATAGCTGGGTTTTTACTGGATGTGACTCGCACTTCAAACGCACTTCGTCCAACTCCTTCTCCAACCTGACGTCGTACGGTTCCTGACTTCTGCCAGCCGCCACGCTGCACCCCCAGAGATGTTGGCTTTTTCTTTTTTCTGTTTGCTTGTTCGTTTAGTGCTGGAGTAGACACTGAGGCCTCATCACTTCTGGGAGGACACAGTAAAACCAGTAAAACGTGAACCCCTGGTTCCCACACTGCTTCTGAGAACGTAAATTCAGATAAGTGCTCTGTAAAATGGGTCAGTGTGCATTAGATTTTGGTGAAAAACAAGGTGGGGTTTTTTTTTTTGTGCTTCTGCTAGTTTCCAGATGTCTGCACTTTTTTCTTCTTTCAGAATGTTTTTTAGTGTTTGACTCTGTTTGTTAGAAAATTAATACAACATTTTATCAAGTTCAAACACTTGAGACCTTTCCAATTTGAAATATATACCTTTTAATTGCCAACAGTCCTTTTTTGTTTTTCTTTCAGCCTAATATTTCTTCCATTTGTCTGAAGCAAAGTGTTTTCAACCACAAGTATTAGTTTCCAGATTTTCTCCTTAAAACCGAAATAACCTCACTCTGGCATGAGAAAGTCAACAAAAGCTAACAGCGTTGAACCTTAATGGGGGCAGCCTGACAGATCGGGGTGTGTGTGGTAGTGTATGGCATGTGTTTGCGTACTTGCCCATGTGATGGATTGGTCTCCAGGCAGACAAAGTATCCCACTTGGAGGGATCGGACTACCAACCCGAAGGCAACGGGATAAATATTTGTCTTGGGTTGTCTCTGGAATGATCGAATATTATTTCAGCCTACGAAGTACTCAAATGCTGCGTCCCGTTCAGAGCTTGGTTTTCAATCTTATTATACCCTTAAACTGCTCATTTAATCTGTATTGATTGTTTTTTTTCCTTTCTGGTTTAATTCTGATCGTAGTTGGTAACTGGTGCAAAAACGATTGGCATTGCGTGTGTGGTCTGGTGTCAGAAGTCTCTTTTTGTCTCTAGAGTGTACTTGTAAGTATATTAGCGTCCTGGGTTTGGGGTTTAACCTGGTTTTCATCACTGTGTTTACACGGAGCACCAGGAAAGCGGGTGATTCACATCCTTGTTTAAATGATTGGATCTGTATTCGGCTCTCTGACCGTCTGTAGACATCTGCGTCTGATTTTTAGAGACTCTTAGCCACTTAAGATCATCTCTAAATTCGCCTGAGAAGCTTGTCCGAGTTTACAGAAACGATTTCACCCGGGTTCGTTACAATTATCTCGGCCGTGTTGGTTCTGTTTGACCCACTTCTGCAGCGCGCACTCCTAAATAAATGTCCACTGTAATTGTTGACAGTCTGCAGCTGAGAATAGCTCCTCAAAATCCACAGGTTCACAAGGTTTAACTTGTGCTTTCCAAAAGACACAAACTGCGCCTTGTAAAAGCATTAATACCTGTCAAACTTTTTGGGCTTTTTTTTGTTTTTGTTTTTGTCACGTTGCAACCAGAAACTTCAGCGTGTTTTAACTGGGGTTTTATTTCGCAGGCTATCACAAAGTGGCACGTGGTTTTGGTTGTGAAAGGAAAGGCATAAGGAGTTTTCAAAATGTAGAAAAAGTTTTTCGTGCATGTGTGAAATGCAATTGCATGATCAGTCCACATCGTCCACTTTCCCTCTGATCCACCTGCAGACAATCTAACTCTACTAGTTTCCCTCAAAAGTCTTGTAAGCAATAAAGAGAGTCAACATCTGAATAATTTAGTGGACCCAACTGTGTTGGGAAGGCCTCAGACACCTCAGCAGAGGGGTGAGAGATGCAGGCGGACAGAACAACACTCCTCTCCACCCGAACCGACTGCATGGACATGCAGAGATTAACCGCTCAGGTGGAAGAACCGCTGCATGCGACGGGTATAAATTCACAAATCTGTCAAGAAGAAAGGCATAGCTGAATGAAAGTCTTACCCATGTAGTGCTGCCACTACTCTGTGAGGCAGCATCATGCTGCTTCCGTCAGGGAACCTGGTCAGAGTTGAAGGGAGGGCAGATATAGCGAGCATTTTGTGACAAAATGTTAAAAAACTATATATAAAAAAACAAGGGTTGCGAGTCCTTTTGCGAGGCGCCGTACCGTCTCTCTTACTAGATAGATCAGAACATTCTGTTAGAAAATTTCTACCAAAAATGGCATAAATGTGAGCTTCAGCTGAATGCCTGATCTCTTTCTTCTCTGCGTCTGTCTGGCTTTTGGCGTTCTGTGATTAGCTCATGGCTTTCCCTCTTCTGACTTCACTCACTGGAGCAACGCTGACGCGAGCTCATGATTGACCGATGAGGACGAGAGGAAAACTTCCATCTATCTTGGAGTTTTGCGTCAGCCTGGCAGATCTGCTGCTGTATCTGGTGTCCTAATGCTAATCTCCCGTGTGTGTGTGTGTGTGTGTGTGTGTTACAATAATCACAGCCGTCAGTAGTTCCAGTTTTCAGAAACACTTACTCTCTATCTGCCATTGTGAGCTTAGGTGATTTTACCTGACCAATCTAAAAAAAAAAAGTAGTTTGAAGCTAAATATCAGTCTGCCCGCTCGCTGAGCAGAACAGACTGGCTGAAGGATGCAGAAGGACTGGATGCAAATCAAAAAGATGAATCAAGTCCGTAATGAAGGGAGAAACAGATGGAGGGAAATATATCTACTTAACCGACTCCTTTAGACTGCAGGACATTAAAAAAAAAAACAACTAAATTGTCACCTGATACCCAGAAGTCTGCTTTTCCTTCTTCCCTTTTCTGCTCGTCGTCATCAGCTGCTTATTCCTGGAAAGGTCTGTCGTTTCGGCACCAGGCTGAGAATACCTTTGCTCCTCTCAGCACTGCAGGCATCAATCTGTAGGCGTCCAGGAGGGCGTCCTGACCACATGTCCAGATCACCGTCAGGATGTTTTGTTTTTGCGATACACTGGTTGTGTAACTGTAGAGGAGGTGAACAGAAGCGGCAGAAAGTCTCCACTTCCTCCACGTGATCATTTCACGTCTCACTTGTGAGGTTTTACGTGCGCTACGATAATGTAGCTGTAAAAAAAACAACAACAAAAAAAACGATGCTTCGAAGACATCCATCATACCGCTCAAACTGTGCAAGTCTCTCTCCAGACATGTTTCCCATGATGGCATGTTTTGCACAAAGAACATGGATTGTAGTCCCTGTCAGGATTGCATCACATCATCTAGCCACATGAGAAACTAGGAAAGGTTTTTGAGTTTTCACACACTGACCTTTCCTTGCCAGGCTGTGCATGTGTGGGCACACAGGTGGCTGCTTTGTTCCTTTTTGAAGCCTTCGGTTAAAGTGGCTGTTTTAAGACTCTGACATGTACAAACAGGGTCTCTTTTACACTCAGCTTCAACATATTCACAAGTGGCTCCTGATAACAGAAACCTCCCTGATTGTCCATGTGTGTCCCAGCTGTGGGGAAAAACCCTTTTTTTTTTTTTTTTTTTCTTTTTTCTGCTGCTGCACACAAACACGTTTAACCTGAGGAAATGGGATTCCTCGTGCTCGAATCACAGCTGGATCTGGAGATGGAGTTGTTTAAAACGGAGAAGAAGTACAACAAAAAAAAAAGAAGAAAGATACGGAAACCATTTTAAAAACCCCTTTGATTCCCTCTGATTTCCAATCAAACTGAAATTAGCTGCAGAAATCAGAGCCAGTGCTTCTGTCCAGACTCCCCTCATTTGTCAGGCAGGTTGCACGTCTGTCTGGGGAGCCCAAGTCCTCCTTACTCTTTCAATTTTACTGCCTTTTTTTTTTTTTCTTTTTTTGCAACTGTGCACCAAAAATTAGACAACGCTTTGGGGCGTTTGCCTGGAGGGATGTTGATTGCCTTCTGGAGAGAGAGAGAGAGACTGTTAACTGCCTTTCCATACAAGGAGAGGTGAGGGGCGAGTGGGGGAGGAGAAAGAGAATGAGAGGAGGGTAATATGAGGAGATACAATGAGAGAGAGAGAGAGAAGGTAGGAGGAGAGAAATCTGGAAAGAGATAAAGGGAGCGAAAAAGACTGATGAGGTTGTGCCAGTTACAGCGGAGAGGAAAGTGAGCAGAGCCGAGTCCTCCCTGTGGTTGTGCTGCTGCTTCTCCGACTGACCCAATGCAGGTAGGGAACACACACAGAGCAGCCGCCATCCATTCAACACACACCGAGCCTGCAGGAGTCCAGACCACCTTGTGTCGCGGTGGTCCAGGAGGCATCCAGGAAGTTTCTGTCTTGTCTTTCAACAGAAACGAAACAAAAAACTGATAATGTAATGATGTAAATGGAAGCTAAACGAAGCATGCAACTGTGTGAAATGCTTTGAATAATCAATGTCGGCATGCAATTCATGAGTAATTGAAGGTAAATGCAGCTGAGGGTGTCTGTGGTCGAATTTGGAAACCAAATGCAGAAGATGAATAGTTTTCACAACAATTCAAGTGAACGTGACTTATTATTATTGAGGTATGTTTGTATTTTTATGCTTTAAAGTAAGCTTCTGTGTGCATTTATATTGTCTTGCACTTAGACGAGAAGCAGCCAAAAACTGACACACACACACACACACACACACACACACATATATATATATAAAATATATATATATAAAGGATAAAAGATTTTTTCTTGTCCCTTCAATCAAATGTCTTTTAAAACAAACAATCTACACATTTTGGCAATTAGACTTTTTGCATATGGCGAACTTGATAAAAAAATAATGGTTTTAAAAGTTGGTTTTTGTTGTTTTTTTGCCAGAAGTAATTTTTTTTTGTCTAAATCGTCTTTTGGCAAAAAAAATAAATAAAGAGATTATTTTTATTTATTCATTTATTTATTTAGCAAAAATTGCCTCTGGTAAAAAGAGACGTAGGCCATTATTTTAGGAAGGTGATAATATGTTCCTTCTTAGAGTTGCACGTTATTTCACTGAACTCTGCCCACAAATTGTCCAAATGTCCATCCTTTCTACACTTTCTGTCAGTGGTGTATCTAAAAATAATTTAGGATAATCCGTTTTTGCACACAACATTTGGCTGCCTTAATTACATTTCTTACCTCCTGTTATGTTCCCCCACCTGTCTAAGTGTCCGTCTTTCTCCTTGTAGCTCCACCAGAAATCTGCACACGGATCAGGCATGCATGAAAAGGATAATTCAACACAGATGGTTGCATCTTTTTTTTTTTTTTTTTTTTTTTTTTCGTCCTGAACAAACTCCTGATTCTGCTATTGTTGCCCAATAAAAAAGATTTTCAAGGAAAAAAAGAAAAGGAAAATTACCTTCCCTGGCAGCTCCTTGTTAAAAAATATCTGTGTATGTGTTGCAGACCTGAATGACCAAATTTATGGGATGAGGTTGAATGTTTGCATTATCGCTGCATGAAGCTGCTCTAACATCACAGGGAAGGTGCCTGAAAGGTTTTATTGCGTCTTATGCCTGACAGGGGAAAAAAAAAAAAAAAAAATCTCCTCCGTGTGAGTCTGTGCTGGCTGATGAGATCACAGTGGGCCTGGGCCGCAGGTGCAAGTGTGTGTTTTTGCACATCAGAGTCACGGTGAGCTCTCATTAATCCATCTGCTGGTTATTTTTCTTAATATTTGTGTGCGAATTCAAGAAATACCAGGCTGTCAGAAGTGTGTTGCAGCGTCGGTGTGATGAGTGCAGGAGGAAGGTCAGAGGGTTTGACTAATCCAAAATAGAGCTGAAGATGTAAGTGATAAAGAGAGCCAGTTTTAGGCAACAGGTAAGTCTCTGCAGAAGCCAGAGAAGAGACCTTAGGAACTAGCTGGACATCCAAACCGTGATATTTCTCCCTGCAGCGATAAAAGCTGGGCTATGTGTCTCCACGCTGCAGGTATTTTTATGGATGGCTGTTAAACTCTGCAATGGTTAATCTGCATTCGGCACAGATGGGGAACTGATCAAAAGATCAGCGACATGCGAGGCTGCGGTCAGAAAAAGTGTCAGAGTTGGACATTTAGAGCTATGTTGGCTGAGTAATTCAATCTGTCCTCTGGAAATAGACCTCAGGGACAATATGCAGCAAGACATGGGTGTTAGGTGTGTTGATGGTGTGTGTGTGCATGTGTGTGTTGGCTAACCCAAATTTAACTGTCTGCATTCTGCAGCTGCTTGGACTTTTAGCAATACTATAGAAACACACCGGATTGGCCCTTTGCCTTCTGGTAGAATGTCAACAGAAGGAAAAATCTTCTGCTCTCAGCTTTAAAGTTTCATTTCACGTTTAAGCCGGCCTTCAGTAACATGAGAAATCAAACACGTGGTCCTGAATTTGCGTTTTTGTGTTCGTTTGTGACGCGATTCGGAAATGAAGCCGACAACAGAGAGAAACGGCAGGACAATGTTTACTTCTGCGTCAGAAGTGGAGAAATGTGTTGAAATGATGCAAAGGAAGAAATCAAACATAAAGCAGCCAACGCTGCAGGCACAAGTTCCAAAACAAAGGAGCTCGGGGAAAAAAAAAAAAAAAATTGTCACATTTCTGCTAATAAAAAGTGTGGAAAATTCGCCTGTTTGTAATTTAATATTAATATAAATCCAGCTGTTCTTTGAAGGCGTCAGATTTTTTTTAATTTTTTTTTTATTGGTGAACAAATGGCTAAAAAGCTCGACAGAGAGTTCGGGGATGGAGTTGTAACGACGTTTAGAGCAATAAATGCAAACTCAGTGAGACATGAATCATAAGAAGTCCCATTTGCACTTTGCAACAAGTCATGTAGAAAACACCAGGAAGACGACGATCTGGTGAGATCAGACCAAAACTGACCAAAACCTACGTGAAAAATGCTGTGCAGAAGAAAGCTAACATGGCATTTTGATGTACGTCACATCCCTCATAATTATGGCAAAGGTTAAAAGCAGGTAGAGCTTTACCCCAAAAGACTTGCAGCATTTTCACAGTAAAAGGTTCCTCTACAAAGTATCGACTCGGGGTTACTGAATACAAGTCTCCACAAAACTCTTGTGATTTTTATCTGTGAAAAAGTTTTGCTAGTCAAAACATCTCCTTTCAGATCACCACCGTGCTGGACTTTATTTAGTCTGTGCTAAAATTGCAACATGTTGACGTTTTTGCTTTAAATTTAGCGAAGAGTTAATACTTTTAGAAACCCCTGCATGCTCTTGGGGGGAAAAAAAAGGTTTTAACCTCAAATACACATACAATCGAAATCCAGTTGGTGATTTAAGATGCATTTACGATTTTCACTGATGGCGATTTGACCGCTTAGCATGTACAGTGTGAACTTAACGCTGCAGTCCAACTTTTGGCCATCGTCTAAATAAGGCAGAAAACTTTGGCTGAAGATTTGGGAGAAGTGAAAACACACGTTTCCCCTCTGTTACTCTCCTTAGCCCTGTTAAAATATATAAAAGGTGAAAAGTGTTTGCACGTGCCCTCCTCCCCTCTCTGCCTCTAAATAGAGTGCGAGTCTGTCTGACTCAGCTGTGGGTCAGTGGATGGTCAGTCGGTGAGGTCAGACAGATTTCACATCCAGCCTCAGACATGTCATATGTGCTGTTTTATTTCAGGGCAGCTCCTGCAACACACATTCCTGCTGAATATTAGCTGTTGTCGCATAGCCAGAGATTGGCTGGAGATCAACACACACACACACACACACACACACACCATGCCCAGCCCAGAAGTTGAAAGCTCAAGGGTCAGAAGGTTCAACAAGCTTTGTTCTCAGATGAAACGTCCGTGTTGTGATACGAGGGCAGGGATGTGGAATTTTCCCCGTCTCCTTTTGTATTTTCGAGGATTGTCCAGGGCTTGGCTTCCTAAATGTTCAGGCTAGTCTTTCCTTTTTGTTTCCTCCCAAGCCAAGATTATGCGCCCAAACACAATTGATCTTAAAATGCGCCTCCCAGTTTACGGTTTCAGCCTCCTTATCAGCCTTTGTTCAGGAGTCCTCTCCAGCTCCAACATGCAGCCGGAGGAATAACCCAGTTTTTCCTTTTTCGTTCCTCTGCAGATGATGTCTTCAGAGCGCCTGGCCTGTGGTTGGCTGCACAAGCTTCTCGTTTTGCTGGTGAAGCTTCATTTCGCGTTTGCCGAGCCTCTGCAACCCCTCAACGGAACGGGCTGCACAGCCAAGGGTCCCGCTTCCTACATCCTGGTCTTTACAGGTCACTGGAGCCCGCAGTCGTTTCCAAAGCAGTACCCCCTGTTCCGACCCCCAGCGCAGTGGTCCAAACTCATAGGTGAGGAAAAACATGGCTTCTCTTTAGAGTGTTTTTGGAATGAAACGAAAGCGCCATACGCAGCACTGGTAGAAGATTTTATTGCCAGTGAATTTAAAGAAGAAAAAAAAAGGTCAAAGAAACTACCAGATGGCGTTTCTCTTTGTCTTTCTGTCGGCTGTCAGACAAAAATCACATGGTTCCAAAATGGAGCCGAAAAGAGACGGGAGTACAAACATGATTACCTAAACAGGTGAGTCTGATTAACTGAATGTGTTGCAGATGTAAGAAGGAGGAGGAAACAACATGAGATGAGATGAGAACAGAGATCAGAGAACTCAAAGTGGAATCACAAAAACAAAAGTTTTTGAATCAAAATCTGAGGAAAAGCTGCAGAAAAGAGCACGACTAAACAATGAAGTGATCAGAAAACACAAGAATTCAGTGAAATATACAAACCTGAAAACCAGCAGGATCACGTCCAGCGACACTGAGCAAATGTGAAAAAAAAAACATAATTTAATCATAAACACAGTAAAATTAGACTTTGATGATGGACATATTTATCTTTCACACAGCCGAATCCCTTTTCAGTTTAAATGACAACACGTTTGTGTGCTTGCACCAATTTAGGAGTCTTGAGATTTTTGATAACGGCCTTAGCTGAAATTTGAACTGCAAGTTTACGCAAATATGATTCACATATCTACAGACAGGCCACACAGTGAGTAGTTTTCAAAGAGAAATGACTCATCTCATGCTTTGATCAGAAATGGAGTATAAAATGTTTTCCAAGCACAAGAAAACAAACATTTTTTACGTCCTGTGCTGAGAGTTTAAAAATCAAATAAATAAATAACAGAAAATAAAAATAAAAAAGATTTTTTTTTGAAAAACACGCCAAAGCAGTGTTGCTATTGCTATGTTATTGTGACGTGACAAAGTAGGAGAAGGTTGAAGCGAGTAATATCCCAAAAAAAAAAAAATATTGGGGACATGGTAGCAGTGATGTCTGGTTTCCAGGTGGCCCAGTGATGCCATGGAAGAGGAGAGCGCCCTACTTATTCCTAACAGAGACAGGCACCAGCGGTTCTGACATAATTATTTCCATGGGCATGGAAAGGGACGGTCTTTGTCACCAGGGAACAAAAACACAAGGGCCTCAGTGAGCAGACGGTAAACTATAGGGGACAATAAAAAAATAAAAAAAAGCTGCAGCAAACGTCAGTAGGGCTGAAGACTCTGAAAGACTGGACTTTGTCATGAATAAAAAAAGTACTCAAGCGGTTTAGGAAGTTGTTGGCTTTGAAGTCTTGGTGGGGCACAAGTGTGATGCATTATCAAATTTCGGGGGTTTGATGCTAGTTAGGATGGAAATGCAATTAAGGTCCACGAGTAATGGCGGTATGGGGAGAAACAAGATAGTGTGTGAAGTGTGCTAGGCAAGTTGTGCAACTAAGTGTGCGCTCATACATGTGTCAAGACTATTTAAGGTTAAAATCCCGACTGTGTGTGTGTAGTTGTGCATGCGTGTGTGTAGTTGTGTGTGTGTGTGTGTGTGCGCGCGCGCGCTTGTCTTTATGCAGCTCTGAAAAGTGAGGTAAGGCAGAACCATCAGAGCATTTGTCAACGTGTTTCTGGCTAACCTTACTCTGCCCTTAAAACCACGGGCCCAGGTCAGCGGCTTTGTGGGTCTCCAGAACCTGTGGTTTAAATCTAAAACTGGGCTCTTGATTTTTAACAGATTTCTGAGATAGTCAGAACTTTTCAAAAGAATGTGAAGAGAAAGCCTGCTGGCCCGGGCTGCATCAGAAAAGCATCATTAAGGGTTTTCAGAATTGTTAAAATAAATTGTTGTCCAACTTCTGCCTGCCAAGTCCAGGATCCTGACCTACATCCTGGCAGCTCCGGCCTGTGTTGCGGTTTCTGCAGGAAAAGACGGAGAATATAACCTTGCAATAACACATGCACATGAGCAATTCCCTCAGAATCATCAGTTTAAATGCAGGAAGTAGGAGGCAGCCGTAGAAGTACACTAGGGCTCCGTGGTGGAAATGATCTCATCGTCTGGCTCAGGACTCTGCGGAGCTTCATCGACACTCGAAAGGAGTCAAGTGAGCGCGCATCTCGCTTCTCTCATCTCACATTTCTTCAATTGCCTTGTCTCTCTCAACAGCGGCGAGCCACAACCGCCACTTTCGGCTCTGGGAGGAGGGCTCTTCGGCCAGTCCCGGGGTGCAGAGCTTTGCTGAAGTCGGGGTGACGGTGGAGCTGATGAAAGCAGCCAAGGAGGCCCGGAAGAAGCGCACGGTCGGAGTCATGTACCGGACAGCAGGCATTCCCAATGGGATCGGACACAGCTCCACGGAGATGCTCATTGTGCCCCGCAACCCACTGGTAGGAGACGGCGGAGCTTCACAAAGCAACATCTACACTCACGCGGTCACTTTGAGCTGGGTTTATTACACCGTGCATCTGCACCCCACCAAGTCATTTCCTACTTATTTCCACTACACCCTGTCAGACTTTGTTTAGACCAAGTGCTTGAGTTCAGTAGCTGCAAACGCCTACATCCATCCCGCACGCTTTGCTCTCGGTCTGAGCTGGAGCCGAGGGAGGGGCCCCATCTGTGTAAGGTAAATACCAGTAAATGCCAGTTACCTCAACATAAAGACTGCAGACACGTAGAACCAGCTACAGTTTTCCTGTCTGGTGGGAAGGGAAAATTGGCCCACCAGTGATTTTTGCTTTTTCTTTTTTTAATTAGCTTGTTAAACTTTGGGCTGGCGTGTTTTATTTACGCACAACCCAAAATACAACCTATCCTGCTATTATCACCAAGCACAAAGATAAGTCATGTATTAGCTGCGCTTAACTACAATGGATCAGTTTCACCAGTCACACCCAGGCCTAATTACTGCAGAAAATCAGAAGTTCAATGTGACACGGGATAAAAGATGTCCAAAAATAGTTAGGAAACAAAGTCAATGATATCTCTCAGCCTGAAAGAAAAAAAAAAAAAAAACAGAAACAAAAACAAAAGCATTTCAGTGGGTTTGGGATTCCAGTGAACCACACTTGGAGTCATCATTCACTAATGGAGAAAACATGGATTCGTGGTGAACCATCTGAAAACTGGCCAGCCTTTCAAAATTACTCCAAGAGTGCGCAGATGATTCATCCAGAAGGTCACAAAGTGCCCAAGAACATCATTTAATGCTCTACAGGCCTCACTTTCCTTTAGAGATTAAGTCAGCGAATGAACACCCTGACACTGTTGGTCAAAATTTGTTGCTGTGATTGATTGAAATTATTTCACGAGTAACAAAACATGTCAAAACCATTACAGTCGTTTGGGGTCGCGCATCTGGGATGAGTTTCTCCCGCATTGGACGCAGCGCTTCCTTTGTCCAAACAGATCTTTTTTTTTTTTTTTTTTTTGCTTTGAACCAAAAACTTCAATGTTTGATCTTCTCTGTCTATGAAACATAATTCCAACAATCCCCCGTTCTTCTAGCATGTGAACTTTAATAAACTGCAGATGAGTTTATTCATTGTCAATCTGGGCTGGGAACAAACGGGCTCTTCTCAGACAGTAATCCCCCGCAGCCCTGCAGTGGGCATTGTCGTTGCTCAGAGCTCCTCTGACGGTCAGTCGACTCACGAACTTTAACGCGAGCCAACGCAAGAGAAGGGGCCTTTAGTTGATTAGAGGTTGCTTCAGTCCAGATCGTGGTTTCAATATAAATGTCTAAATCCATTTTCGGTCATCCCCCCCCTTGCGATGCTTGATCAAAAAAAAAAAAAAATCTTACTTTTCCTTTGTTTTCAATTAGATTCTAAAAGATTTCATATGCTGGATGCTGGTATGAATAGATACAACAGATATAATCTGATGCAATTTGGTGAGTATGATGTGTCGTGAACTGACCCGCTTGGGGGAGCCAATGAAATCTTTCATAGTTCATTAATTTTAATAAATAGAGAGAGAGAGAAGGAGGAAAAAAACACATTTAACTTTTAATCCGAGAATGTCATTTAACAAAAGGAGCTACGTACACATTCCCTTCCTCTGAGATATTATTTATGAAGATGCCTGTTGGCCAGAGTGGCTTTACGTTGAGAAAAATTAAACAAAGCATTACTTTATGTTCAGCAACATGTAGCTTTTTTTTTTTTTCACTTTTGACTGGTCTGGTGCTTTTCTTGGTAAAAACCTAAACGCTATTTTTATGAGGCAAGGCAAACATCTGGCCTGTTGAATTAATTGTCTTTATTGTTTCAATTTGTAGCTCAGCTCACTTCACTTAGTGTTTATTTAGTGATTATTCACCTCAGATGTTATCACATGGTTAGCCAAACACATATAAAACAATAGCCAAGCAACATGGACGCTTTCCACTTTCTGTGCAAAATATTTGTCGATATCATAAGGAGGGAAAATGCAACAAAACCACCAGCTCAATAGAACGACACAACTCATATGCTTGAGTGTTGTTTTTTTTTAGCCTATTATAGGAGTTTGTGTGCATATTTGAGCCAGTTTTCCCCTTAACAAGAACTGCTCTAAATTCAGCTCATCCTCATGCGGTTAAAGATCTTTACACTTCTTATTGACAGAGGTATAAATCATTTTTAGGAAGAAAAAGGTAAATAAAAACAGACAAATTGCTGGGAAACGTAAACTCTTTCACACATTTTCATTATTTCCTGTTACATTTCCTCTCAAAAATTAACTTCTTCTTTGAATACAAATTCATTTTAATCTAAGTCTGCCAGAGATTATGTGTAATTTTGGTTTCAACTGCTTGCTACTCATCAATTAGGATATAGATTATGTCATCATCTAGTGTTTATAAGCCAGTCTTTGCCTCTTTTCTCCCCCCAGTTGTCTTTTATCTCATAAGCTATATTTTTTTGTGGCTCAATTCTCCACTCAGGGGTCCACAAAGCATTTCACAGTTTTGATACCAGCAAGAAAAAAAAAGAAAAAAAGAATCTGAAGTTTAACGTCAAAAGTTGTCGAATTAAATCTGTGATCTCTTTTGAGGCGATATAAGGTTGTTGCTTTTCTTTAATAAAGTTCTGATTGAGCTCAATTCTTACTATCTGGGCTTTTTTGCTTCTTACCTTCATGATCAGCCGAGAGAGAAGGTCCATTCCTCTTGCGTCTACTATACTTCACACCCATATGCAATGAAATCTGGGTTTTTGTCCATCCAATGATATGTGCCTTACTGTTTAAAATAAAAAGAATTGGATCCTGTTTTTTTTTTTTTTATTTCAATTTTTATTGTAATTACCCTTAAAAAGTGGCATTTTCTAAAGGTTATCATGTCTAGAGAGTCTCCGGCTTGCATTGTCAACTACATTAGGAGACTAATTCTCTGAGTCCTTGAACCAGAGGGCAAAACAAAAGAACTAATCACTCTTTAGGTGAGCATTGTTTCTGTAAGCATAGGTAATGTTCAGCACCCCGCCGTGTTGTCTTCCAGGTATGTGACGTCTGCGCCGGTCTGTTTTTAGATCAGATAAGCAAAGCAAAGCCCAGCTATTGAGCGTGCTGTGTTGGACATGATTTAATGACGTGATCCAGCTGATAACTTAATCTGTGAGCATGTTGCACTGTCTGTTGCGCTCTCATTTATAAATACTATATCATTCCTTTGAAGACAGCCGATGGTTTACACGACATCCGCCAGGAATCCCAGACACATGACTTCTGTCATCATATATCCAGCTTTTGTTTAATGTGGAGCTCAACCAGATGGAGACGCAGGATGTGAGCCATTTTAAGCCGCTCGAGAGGCTTTCCGTCGGATGCCTTCTGGTCTTTGAAAACGGTTTTCTGAGATGGACACGGGCTTTTAAAGATTTGTCTTGAACAGTCGTGCAAACTTTCCCTTTAGCTAATAGTAAAGAAATTAGCCGAGAGGCGTCGTCTTTCAGATTAGCTCAGGAGAGTTTCAGGAAAAGATGAAAAGCATAAGAGGCAGGAAGTTCAAAGATCAAAAATGAAAGGACACTGATGTTTCTAAAAAAAAAAGCCACAAGACTTCTTCTGGTTTAGTCTTTACTATTTTTAACATTTATCACTGGAAGAAAAACATTAACACTTGTATGTCTTCCTGACTCATCTCATTCCTTTGTCTCAGATCTGCTGGTCCCCGCTCTCTGTTTGATTCAACACCAGTGATTCATTCAAAGCCCACACAAAAACCGACCCTCAGACTGACAAGATGAGCAGCGACTGTCAAGTGTTTTTGGGTTGTTGTTTTTTTCTCCAAAAATGGAGAAGTTTTCAAATGCGCTGCCGTCTGGTCTTCTGCCACCACTTCAGTGTGTTTTGACCCTAAATCCTCTCTCCGAGATGAGATCACCGTTTCTCAGGAAACATACATCATACGGGAGACAGACGGGGTGCACGTGCGCACATGCCGACTCTGTTTTATAGTCGCAAAATCCCTACATCGGCGCTCATGTGTGTGTGATGTCAGGCCTATTGCATTTATTGTCCTGGCTGGTGTTACTGTGATCTCTGTAATTTCATTCATTCTGCACTCATCTCATTTTCCACAGCAGGGGGATTTAAACAGTTGCACAGTCCAAAGTGAACTAATGGCTATTATATTAAAATAACAAGTGTTTTCATTACATTTCAATCTACGTGTCAAAGTATAAAACATTTCTATTAGAGATAAGAGTTATTTTATTCAGCTTCAAATAGAATTCAATTTTTTTATGGGGTTATGTTGGAAGACTATGACTGCACAATATCTTACCTTAAATGTGAACAAGACAGTTTGGGTCTTGGATGGTATTGAAGATGCCTGTGTGGTAGCAACCATTTGAGTCGTTGGTGGAAAATAGAAATAGTTTTACACCTTGGACATTTTCAGATATTGTCATATTACAACCACAAACCAGAGTTTCTTTTTTTTATATTAATATTATGTGATGAACCAATAAAAAGCATAAATTAGAAGTTGAAGAAAAAGGTACATTGTTTTTCTCAAATAAAATCTATAAAATGTGTTGTCCATTCAGCTCTCTTTTTGTGATTACCAGATAAAGCCACCCCACACTTCAGTCTACAGACGGCCATTTTTACTAATTTTACCTTACAGAATCACTCAAGCTGAGTCAGACCAGGTCGTGTTAATCTCAGGTTAACACTTACCGAATATCCTCTGTCTTTTAGGTCTGCACTTTGACTGGGCCACTTTGGCATATGAATATGATTTGATGCGTGTGATGTACTGTTTAGGATTGTTGTTCTGTTGGAAGGTGAACCTCCACCCCTGTCAGTTTTCATGGTATGCAGATTCTCCCTGCTGATAACGCTACGGATTCTCCATAGTGACAACAATCCTCTTCTTGGCTGCTTCTCTGATTGATGTTCTCCTTCCCAGCCTGCCAGTTTAGGTGGACTATCATGTTTTGCTTAGGTTTGGAGTTGTGCTGTACTCTTTCCATTTTCAGATGATGGATTGAACAGAGCTCTGTGAGATGTTCAAAGCTTGGGCTTTTGTTTTATGACTGAACTCTGCTTTAAATTTCTCGACAGCCTCGCCTGTTTTGCACTTGGTTGCTGTTTGTTCTCTAACAACAAACCTCTGAGGCCTTCACAAACCATTGGTGGCACTGTGTTATATTTAGGGGTGTCGCAGTAGGACGCATGCTTTTGGATTTTTGTTTATAGTGAAAAAACGTATAATTTTTCTTCCACTTTACAACGTGCCACTTTATGTTGGTCTGTCACATAAAATCCCAACAAAGTGCAATAAGGTTGTGGCTTAAATGTGAAGCACAAATGGTATGAATACCTTTGCAAGGAACTCTTAAGTATTTTTTTTACTAGCATGTAGTATTTAACTTCCTGGTAATCTGGTCATCCCCCCTTTTTTTTTTTTTTTTTTTTTTTACAAAATTATGATAATTAGTGTTTCATAGTTTTTCAATTAAACTCATTGAAGTCTAACATCAGTGTTTTGTGTCTGACAGCTGTCTTTGATGGTGAAGATGATTCCCAGCCCTGACTGGTTTGTCGGTGTGGACAGCCTCAATCTTTGTGAGGGTAACCGGTGGAAACAGGAAGTGACCGTCGACCTCCAGCCTTACGATGCAGGAACGGACAGTGGATTCACTTTTTCCTCTCCCAACTTTCCCACCAGCCCCCCTGAAAACATTACAAAGGTAGGAGGAAACCATCATCTGTTTATGTCCTTCGCTAAGCTGTTGGTGCCTCAGATTCTGGTGTCTCTGTCTTGTTCTTGGAGTACGTAAGCAGAGTGGGAACAGGGCATCATTCTTGGCTGTTTGTGGCTGAATGATTGCTTGGCAGGCCTCATGTCTGACCTGAAGTGATTTAAATAAAAAGGGGCCCCTTATGTAACAGACTATCCATCCTTTTGCAGGATGTGCTTTAGAGCTGGCTAATATGCACTGGGGGTTCTACTGAGAATCTGTTGCCTTTTTCTGATGAACTGCTCGCCGACTGCTTTTCAGATCACGTCACAAATGCCGAATCATCCGGCCAATTCCTTCTACTACCCTCGACTAAAGGAGCTTCCACCTATTGCCAGCATAAAGATTACCCGGCAGCGTCGAACGCCAGACCGCCAAACTTCTATTTCTAATCACATTCTACCAAACTCCATCAATCCTCAGCGTTTCTCAGGTAATAACGCAAAGCTTTTCCTCACAAAAATATTCATAACCTTGAAAGTATTTAGAGTTTTTTTTTTTTCCTACCAGCTACTGGTAGGAAGGTAGCTGGAGCTGCTGTTTGAGGTTGGACCACAACAGTGTAGAACCCAGCTCCGGGTAGAGGGGCTTCCCAGGGTGTGGGGACCCACAAGCTCTCAGCTGACTGCCTCGGTTTTAGAGTTAACTAGCATGAGGGGTCACCTCTTTGTGGCATTAGGTTGCAAGAGGGAAGGCTCTGACCTTTTGCACTGAACAGCAGTTCGGATTACCAAGCCTTCTTGGAGTCCAAAGGATGTTTTGCAATTTAACAGAGCACGAGTCGATCACAAGGTGAGTCAAGTGTGCTTGATACCAGGTCATCTTGGGCTAAAGGTCGACGATCAGTGTTGTAATCTTATCATTTGACCTGCTGCGGCTGAAGAGATATCAACTCATTGCCACTTGGTAGCGAGCTGAATCCAGTGGCAGGGGTTTGGCAGACAGATCTAGTAAAACCGAACATGAGTTGAGAGTGAGCTGCGAACGTCTAGTGGAGGAACCTGTTCAACTTATGCCTCCTGGAGAATCTCTCTCCTCCCCCAAGGGAAGTTGGAGTCGTGAAATCAGAATGGGGCAGGACCTTCACTGCAGATATGGCTTTCGAGAGCTATGGCCTAATATATATTGCCGTTTGTTGTGTTGGCAACAAGAGGATCTGCTCATGGACCCCCAGAGGTGATGGAACCTGTTGGGTTGGAGAAGACCTTGAAGGCTTGGTTGTCTATAACGAATGTCAATTAGCACAGGTATAGAAAAAATAAGACAGACTGCTGCATCTGTGTTTTGTCTGCTTTTGGATTAGGGAACTGCAGACCCAGACTGGTGTTATTGTAGACTGGTGGAAAGAGCGCTTTGAGGATCTCCTCAATCCTGTCTCCTTACTGTGAAGGAGTCGGAAACTGAAGACTCGGAAGAAGGCATTCCATCACAGTAGCAGAGGTCACTGAGGTAGTTAAATAGCTCCCCATTGGCAGGAAGTCAACCTACGAAGATGAGATTCTGCGTAGGTCCATCATAGTTAATAGACCTTTTCAGTGTTGCATATTGAAAAGGCATAGGGGCAACGCCAGAGTGGCATGATAGTTTTTTAAGACAGGGGACAGAGAGTGAATTCCAACCCTAGAAAGATCACACTTTTCACCCTCACTGGGAAAGATTAGACCATAGATTTACTCTTCCAGAACAATATAATCTGTTTGTCTGTCTGCATGTATATGACTGCTGCAGAACAGGCATCATTTGGGCACTGTTTCCTCATTTTCTTGTTGTCTCTCTCTCTTTAAACCCAGCAACACCTTTGGATTGCGAAGTCTCCCTCTGGTCATCTTGGGGTCTGTGTCTTGGTCCCTGCTCCAGAGGTGGAGTTCGTCACCGCACACGTTACATACTTCTGCGGCCAGCAAACGCTGGCAGCCCCTGCCCTGAGCTGGAGGAACAGGATGAATGTGTGCCGCACAACTGCATAAAGAAACGCCAGTAATCGTCAAAGCAGGAGCATAAAAACAACCAGTGATAAACACTTGGACTCTCGTGTTATCAGTGCTGGACTGAGAAAACGTTTGAGAATTTGTCAGATTTTTTTTTTAAGTGAAGCAATAAGAACTCAATGTGTATTGTCACAAAAAGAGACGTTTGCAAATCAGCAGAACTAAGAAAAAACAGAAGTCTCTTGGAAAAAACTGGTTGCTGGATGAAAATCAAAGAGCTAAAATGCTATTTAGTCTGACTTTGTTTTTACAACTGTTGTTCGACCTGTGTTTGCCCAAAGGTTGAGCTGTTTTGTAAAATGTAAATAAAAGTGAAATGCAACCATTTGTAAATTATCTCCAAAAATATATGTTTCATTCAATATAACAGAAATATGAATTAATTTGTGTGCCGTTTTTCATTTTGTCAAATAAATGCACATTTTGTTGTAACTTTCCTGCCAACGCTATGTTAAAAAAAAAAAGTTGGGACAAACATGGGGGGAGATTTTCCAGCGAACTAAAATCCAATTAAAACACTTGAGCAAAAATACCTAAAAGTATATCTGTCTAAAGCCAAATGCAGTCATCCTATAGAAAAAGCTTTTTTTTTTTTTTCAGCTGCTTGCATCTGGGATCTTGTTCAATCAATAATGACTCGCATCGCAACATGCTATGTGAGGGGTTGGAACATAGACGGAGGTCCGTGGCGTTGGGGGGGCATTGCCCGCCCACAGAGTCAGCCGTGCCCCCCACCCCCCTGGACTGGAAGTTGTTTGTTGTTTTTACCTTAGAATGGCCAAATATCTGTTTTTTTTTAATTTACCATCCATCTGTGATAGACAGACGGTAAATTGAAAGTGTTGCTTGTCTCAAATTTCTTTGCTACACCAGACCAGAACAGCGCCCACATAACTGCAAACAAAGCATTAATCTGATTATCCTTTCTCTAGTCTATTACCATCAGAGACCAAGATACTTAAAGTCCTTTGCTTAAGGCAGGACCATCTGTATCTGACTGACAGCGGATAAAACCCCCTTTTTTTTCTTGACATTAGCAAGATCCGGAAAGGATGTTTTTGACACGACGCTCGTTTCTCATCATTAAGTTTAAGGATCTGTGATGGTTTGATGCTCATAGAAGAAGTAACGCAACGTCAACGAAGGAAGCTTAAGAAGTACATGTTTACTTCTTGTAAAGTACATGTTTACATGTACTTCTTGTACATGAAAATGAAATGAGATGTTATTTCATTTCGTGCCATGAAATAACACGAGTCCTCGTGTTATTTCATGAGATTTCAGGTGACTTGCCTGAACATTTCTCATACTAACAGCAAATAAACACAATAAAGAGGTGCCGAGCAGTGGAAATCATATGGACAAATAAAACAATGCATTTTTTAATCAATGTTTATAAAAAGTTTCTTTACTCATTTATGCTCTGTGAGAGTTAAGGCACATGTCTGTCTGCTTACTTACTTAAAAATGGCTTCTTACATCCAATTCAAAATGAGGGATACTTTAGAGGTTTTAAAGCTAAAAGAAAGAAAGTGTTTTTGCTGCACACATATAGTTCACATCAACTACATTCTTACATGAGCACTGCTGTTACATGTGCACAGATAGATCCACACTAAGATCCTTTGACCTACTGCATACCTTCACCGGAATATAGCACCATTGGATTACTTGAATAACCTACATATGTTTGGGCTGTAAATCTCTTATAAAGTAACTGTAAATCCCATCTTTATAAATATCTCCTGCCATAAAGAATTAACCAACAGGCTGAATTGATATGTGAAGCTTCTTCAAAGACCAACATGCAGATATTTAAAAGAATGTCAGATCGGCACACAGTCATGTAAGGAAATTTGACGTTAAATAATCCCGAGAAAAGTTCACATATTGATGCATATTCTAGTTATCTACTGAAAGAAAGTGAATTAACTGCACTTAAAGGACAGAGAGTAACCTTCATTTACTCAATGAGCAAAAAGCATGAAAAAAAATATTTTACAGCTAAGAAAATAGCTAACGTTACCCAATTTCCCTGAAATAGCTTGAGTGAGGAGGCTATTGTAACCATCTACAAGTCTCTGTCATCTGTGAGAGGAAAGTTTTCGCTGCTTTTCACCTTCAGGTAAGATTTTAAGAGGTTTCTTCCATGTCCAGCCCCTGTATTGGTCCTTACTTGTAGGAAAACATTTGGAATTAATACACCTCATTTTATAAAAGGGGTAAGATATCTTATATTTGTCAAAATATATATTTTTACATAATAAACTTGAAATGTGTATTGTTTTTGTATTTTGCCATGTGCCATTTTATTGTATCATTCTGTTAGCAGCTTACTTTCACAAATCAGTGAAACAAAACAGCACCCCCTGGTGGTCACAATCAATAGCATTCCATAATCACAACTGCCCGCTTCAATTAAAGCTATTATTGCTTATAACAAAGGTATTTTCTTTTTCAATATAAATAAATAAATAAATAAATAAATAAATAAATAAATAAATAAATTATTTATTATTGAAACTTAGAAATGCATAAAGTTTTGTAAAATGCAAAATAAAAATCTTAACTGTAGTTATTAACTGTACTATTTCAGTTCAGAAATAGACCATCAAAGCTCACCATTAAATGTTCAATGACCTTCAGTTTTTTTTCCTCTGAAGCCATCATATAGCAGAGCTGTTGATTATGTGTTGCTACTTTTATTTGAAATAAAATATAATTATATTCCAGTAGGATAATCTTATTCTGAATAACTAACAAAAAAACAACATAATTTAATTTGAGTACATTAATTTATTGAGAAAAGACCCCATGTTATAAAAAAAAATTTAACACTAAACTACAAGTGCTGTACTTTAGCCACCAAGGTAACACTTAGTTGAGTACTTGAGGTTAGAGTCTAGAGAGAGGCCTCTTTGTTCTTTCTGCAAACCATTGAAGTCCTGGGCCCTTTGAGGGTTGGAAAGTTGAAGGATAGAGAGTTTTCCCTCTCAACTCAGCTTTCTGAAGACCGGTAGAGTACAGCACCTATCTATCCATCCACTGATCTTCCACTCAATTTTTTCATTCATTTGGGAACAAGACCTCAAGATACTTAAAACTCCTCCACTTGGGGCAGGACCTCTTCTCTTTTTGGTATTCATAGATTCAGATTCTCATCCTGGCCTCTTAACACTTGCCTATAAACTGCTCCAGTGAAAGCTGGAGGTCACGGTCTGATGAAGCCAACAGAACCAGGTCACCTCCAAAAAGCAGAGACGAGATCCTGAGACAACCAAAATGGATTTTCTCAACATCTTGACTGTGCCTAGAAATTAGGTCCATACAAACGTTATGAACAGAATCAGTGACAAAGGGCAACCTCGGCGAAGAAAGACCCAGTGACAATCTTTTTTCTGTTTTCCGCCAGAGGTCAATGTTCTGGTATTTCTAAGAGTTTATGATCCATTGCGCCCTAAAAAAGATTCCGGGGGAGAGAAACAGGCCCACAGGCTCACAAATCTTCCACAGTATCACTCAAGACCCAGTTTGTCATAAAACTCCATGTTTGTGATTGTTGGACAGCATCAGGACTTTTCTAATACTATTTTGTTTATATACTATATAAAATATATAGTTAGTACTAAAATGATAATTATTAATATATTTATTTATGCATTTAATCCAACTTTATTCAGACAAAATGCTGACAAAAATATTTACTCGTTACATGATACTTTTGCACTTGATACTTTGGCGGAATCCATGGATTTTCTTTCTTTGATTCCAGGTGAGAAGCTCCCTAAATAATAACCACTGCGGGAAAGTAACGCCTAGGTCTTCCACTAGGGGTCGGTGTTTCCTCATATTTTCTCTGCCTCCGCAGTGCTGCCAGTCTACCAGGAGAAGTGCGTTTGATTGTTGCAGGGCTCAATGGCGGACAGAGCAGGATAGTCGCGTTAACACCGAGGACAAAAACGTTTCGACTGGGAGATTTGCGGTCCGCCGCCGCCGCCGCGTATCCCCGGGAACATTGACCAAAACGAGCTCTGTTTTGCATTAGGGTGAACTACAAAGCAATCGCAGCTGGTTTCTTCTCGCCTTTTTGTTACGTTAGCTTCCTTGAGTTCCCATCCCGAGCGGAGAAGTTCAACTGTTCATGGTGGCTCACTGAGGGCTGTTAGCTTTGTAAGCAAACCATGGGGGACTCTCTCGAATTGATCGGGAAGCGTCTTATTTTGCTCCTCGACGACAGCAGGCCCGCCAATGGATCAGAGACCGAACAACCTGCCTGGGCCCGGGACTGGCTCCGAGGAACGGTGCGGGCGGTGAGCGTCATCGGCCTGGCCGCTCCGGAGGGCAGCGAAGGAGGGGAGGCGACAACGACAAGCACGGCTGCCGGACTCACAGTCAGTATTTACATTCAAGCGTTTCCGTATTGCGAAGCTAAATATCAGTCATTTTCTAAAATGCACCGTGTGCTAAGCGGGTCAATGTGTATTCCGCTTAGTGGAGCTTGTTGTTACCCACCAGAATCGGGAGATTTATCGTTACCTGCTGCATAAATTTAGATCTTAGCCCGCTGCGTGTTGCAGGCAGAGAGGCGAAGCTAAAATCGAGACCGGGGATTTTCTGGCCTTTGCTTTGTTCGATTTTTCCTAGCTTCTGGATATCTAGCTTCAAGCAATGTTTATGTGTGACCTTGCAGCATTTACTGTTAAACACTTAAGGTCAAGAGTTAAGAGAGGCGTCGAGCACATTGTAGTAAATCGCAGATAATTTCTGTGCAACCATTACAGGCGATCAATTCTGCCCGTCAGCTAATGATAGTCCTCTTGAAGGCCAGAAGAAAGTTCACGCAGGGGCGAACCTGAAATCGCTCCCACCTTGTTTTTTTGACCTAGATTATTTAGTATGACACGGCTTCACCGTCTTATAAGAATCTGAATGAACGACGCTGACATTTTGATTCAACACTGCAGATAGAGCCAATGTTAGGTGGTGGTTGTAGACCAACATGACAGAGGGAAGTCAAACTAATGCTTATCCAGAATCATATAAACAATTGATGGCACTGCTCAAATATAGGATTCAGAAAGTTTATCTTTTAAAAGTGCAAGTTATTTTCTTCAAAAGTATATGCAGGGACGAATGCTGTACCATGACACAGTTTTCTATCAACTTGCTGTACATCTTATGTGATGAACTGCCACTAAAGTTGTTGCCAAAGTTAGTAGTTGGAATAGATGGGGCAGCCACGTTTTCTAAAAAAAATAATGTTAAATTCTTTTAAAAGAGCATTAAAATGACTTTTTAATGACACCACGACGATGTGTGTTGGTTAAAATAAGAAGACTTTAAAGCTGAAATTTTGGAATCTACATCGAGACCGAAGAAACAT